AAGAAATGATGAAAAAAAGTGAAGGAATATGTGAAGAAATGATGAAAAAAGTGAAGGAATATGTGAAGGAATGATGAAAATAGTGAAGAATATGTGAAGAAATGATGAAAAAAAGTGAAGGAATATGTGAAGGAATGATGAAAATAAGTGAAGGAATATGTGAAGAAATGATGAAAAAAGTGAAGGAATATGTGAAGAATGATGAAAAAAGTGAAGGAATATGTGAAGAGAATGATGAAAAAGTGAAGGAATATGTGAAGAAATGATGAAAATAGTGAAGGAATATGTGAAGAAATGATGAAAAAAGTGAAGGAATATGTGAAGAAATGATGAAAATAGTGAAGGAATATGTGAAGGAAGAATGATGAAAGAAAATAGTGAAGGAATATGTGAAGGAATGATGAAAAAAAGTGAAGGAATATGTGAAGAGAATGATGAAAATAGTGAAGGAATATGTGAAGGAATGATGAAAAAAAGTGAAGGAATATGTGAAGAAATGGAAGAAAAAAGTGAAGGAATATGTGAAGAAATGATGAAAAAAAGTGAAGGAATATGTGAAGAAATGATGAAAAAAAGTGAAGGAATATGTGAAGGAATGATGAAAAAAGTGAAGGAATATGTGAAGAAATGATGAAAAAAAGTGAAGGAAGGAAAATGATGAAAATAGTGAAGGAATATGTGAAGAAATGATGAAAATAGTGAAGGATATGTGAAGAAATGATGAAAAAGTGAAGGAATATGTGAAGAAATGATGAAAAAAAGTGAAGGAATATGTGAAGAAATGATGAAAAAAGTGAAGGAATATGTGAAGGAATGATGAAAATAGTGAAGGAATATGTGAAGAAATGATGAAAAAAAGTGAAGGAATATGTGAAGAATGATGAAAATAGTGAAGGAATATGTGAAGAAATGATGAAAAAAGTGAAGGAATATGTGAAGAAATGATGAAAATAGTGAAGGAATATGTGAAGAAATGATGAAAAAAAGTGAAGAATATGTGAAGAAATGATGAAAATAGTGAAGGAATATGTGAAGAAATGATGAAAAAAGTGAAGGAATATGGAACAAATGATGAAAATAGTGAAGGAATATGGGAATATGTGAAGAAATGATGAAAATGTGAAGAAATGATGAAAAAAGTGAAAGAAATAATGTGAATGAAATGATGAAAAAAAGTGAAGGAATATGTGAAGAAATGATGAAAAAAAGTGAAGGAATATGTGAAGGAATAATGAAAAATAGTGAAGAAAAAGGTGAAGAAATGATGAAAAAAGTGAAGGAATATGTGAAGGAATGATGAAAAATAGTGAAGGAATATGTGAAGAAATGATGAAAAAAGTGAAGGAATATGTGAAGGAATGATGAAAAAAAGTGAAGGAATATGTGAAGAAATGATGAAAAAAGTGAAGGATATAGTGAAGAAATGATGAAAAAAGTGAAGGAATATGTGAAGAAAATGATGAAAAAAAGTGAAGGAATATGTGAAGAAATGATGAAAAAAGTGAAGGAATATGTGTAAGAAATGATGAAAAAAGTGAAGGAATATGTGAAGAAATGATGAAAAAAGTGAAGGAATATGTGAAGAAATGATGAAAATAGTGAAGGAATATGTGAAGAAATGATGAAAAAAGTGAAAGAATATGTGAAGAAATGATGAAAAAAAGTGAAGGAATATGTGAAGGAATGATGAAAAAAAGGAAGGAATATGTGAAGAAATGATGAAAAAAAGTGAAGAATATGTGAAGGAATGATGAAAAAAGTGAAGGAATATGTGAAGAAATGATGAAAAAAAGTGAAAGAATATGTGAAGGAATGATGAAAATAGTGAAGGAATATGTGAAGAAATGATGGAAAAAAAGTGAAGGAATATGTGAAGGAATGATGAAAATAGTGAAGGAATATGTGAAGAAAGGAAAAAAGTGAAGGAATATGTGAAGAAATGATGAAAATAGTGAAGGAATATGTGAAGGAAATGATGAAAAAAGTGAAGGAATATGTGAAGAATGATGAAAATAAGTGAAGGAATATGTGAAGAAATGATGAAAAATAGTGAAGGAATATGTGAAGAAATGATGAAAAAAGTGAAGGAATATGTGAAGAAATGATGAAAAAAAGTGAAGGAATATGTGAAGGAATGATGAAAATAGTGAAGGAATATGTGAAGAAATGATGAAAAAAGGTGAAGGAATATGTGAAGAATGATGAAAAAAAGTGAAGGAATATGTGAAGAAATGATGAAAAAAGTGAAGGAATATGTGGAAGGAATGATGAAAAAAGAAGTGAAGGAATATGTGAAGGAATGATGAAAATAAGTGAAGGAATATGTGAAGGAAATGATGAAATAGTGAAGGAATATGTGAAGAAATGATGAAAAAAGTGAAGGAATATGTGAAGGAATGATGAAAAAAGTGAAGGAATATGTGAAGGAATGATGAAAAAAGTGAAGGATATGTGAAGAATGATGAAAAAGTGAAGGAATATGTGAAGAATGATGAAAATAGTGAAGGAATATGTGAAGAAATGATGAAAAAAAGTGAAGGAATATGTGAGGAATGATGAAAATAGTGAAGGAATATGTGAAGAAATGATGAAAATAGTGAAGGAATATGTGAAGAAATGATGAAAAAAAGTGAAGGAATATGTGAGGAAATGATGAAAAAAGTGAAGAATATGTGAAGGAATGATGAAAATAGTGAAGGAATATGTGAAGAAATTGATGAAAATAGTGAAGGAATATGTGAAGAAAGATGAAAAAAGTGAAGGAATATGTGAAGGAATGATGAAAAAGTGAAGGAATATGTGAAGAAATGATGAAAATAGTGAAGGAATATGTGAAAAATGATGAATATGTGAAGAATATGTGAAGAAATGATGAAAATAGTGAAGGAATATGTGAAGAATGATGAAAAAAAAAGTGAAGGAATATGTGAAGAAATGATGAAAAAAAGTGAAGGAATATGTGAAAATGATGAAAATAGTGAAGGAATATGTGAAGAAATGATGAAAAAAAGTGAAGAATGAAGGAATATGTGAAGAAATGATGAAAATAGTGAAGGAATATGTGAAGGATGATGAAAATAGTGAAGGAATATGTGAAGAAATGATGAAAAAAAGTGAAGGAATATGTGAAGGGAAAAAAAGTGAAGGAATATGTGAAGAAATGATGAAAAAAGTGAAGGAATATGTGAAGGAATTGATGAAAAAAAGTGAAGGAATATGGATGAAAGAAAGTGAAGGAATATGTGAAGAAATGATGAAAAAAAGTGAAGGAATGTGAAGAAATGATGAAAAAAAGTGAAGGAGAAGGAATGATGAAAAAAAGTGAAGGAATATGTGAAGAAATGATGAAAATAGTGAAGAATATGTGAAGAAATGATGAAAAAAAGTGAAGGAAATATGTGAAGGAATGATGAAAAAAAGTGAAGGAATATGTGAAGGAATGATGAAAATAGTGAAGGAATATGTGAAGAAATGATGAAAAAAATGTGAAGAAATATGTGAAGAAATGATGAAAAAAAGTGAAGGAATATGTGAAGAATGATGAAAATAGTGAAGGAATATGTGAAGAAATGATGAAAGAAAGTGAAGGAATATGTGAAGAAATGATTGAAAATAGTGAAGGATATGTGAAGAAATGATGAAAAAAAGTGAAGGAATATGTGAAGAAATGATGAAAAAAGTGAAGGAATATGTGAAGGAATGATGAAAATAGTGAAGGAATATGTGAAGAAATGATGAAAAAAGTGAAGGAATATGTGAAGGAATGATGAAAATAGTGAAGGAATATGTGAAGGAATTATGAAAATAGTGAAGGAATATGTGAAAGATTTATAAAAATGAAAGATTGAAAAGAATTTGGAGGATTTTTGTGATAATTTGAATGAAATTTCAAAAAATAACTTTTAAGGATTACTTAAGTAAGCTATTGGATTAAGAAATAAAAAAAGGAAAAAAGTTTAAAAAAGTGAAAAAATGAAGAGGAAAGGATTTATTTTGGACAGAGAAGTTGCTAGATAAAAAGAGAAGAGAGAAAGAGAAAAAGTGAAATGAAGGTGGAAGGAATGAAGTGGGAAGTGTAGTTTAATTGAGGAATAAAATGATATGCACAAATCGATGAGACTTAGAGACGGAGTGAGAGAGGGACAGAGAGATGAAATGATAAAGGAATGAAAGGAAGAGAAGAAGCAGTTGAACTTTATGTCAAATAATAAAGCTATTTAGATATTTGCATTTATTAAGCCTAAAAATTGAAAAAAAAAATAACTTTTTTTAAAGGGAATAATGAGTTTTTATTGATTAGTTTGCTAATTAATTAATTAATATTATTAATATTATAAGATTAATTTATTTAATAGCATTATTTATAATTAAATACCAAGATTCATTGCTGTCATTCATTTCTTCTTTTTATTTTCTTATTTATATCTCTATTAATTTTTCAACAAATAAATCATATGGAACCAATTAGCATAACAATTGTTTATTTTATTAAATAATATTAAGTTTATCGAACAAATAAAAAAATTCACATAAAGTAAATAATAATTTTATATCACAGAATATTTTATTGTGTTCATAAATTTCAAAAAAAAGAAAAAAAGTTTTTTTTGTTTTTGTTTTTTTGTTGTTGTTGTCATTGCTATTGTTATTGTTAATAAATGAAAATTATTTGTAAATCATAGGGAAAATATTTGTCACAATTTTAAGTTTTATTATGACAAGACGGATAAGTCCAAAGATTACAGTGTCATTTTAGAGTTCTTCCCAATGACTAATAGTCGCCGTCAGTGTCATTCCACTGTTATTATTTGCACATATTTGTTTGATTATCGATTTTTAATTTTACATTTTGGCATGGGAATTGTTATTTGTTATCAATTGTAATAATAAAATATATATTTTTAATAGTAATAATTTTTAGTTTGAAAAGTTCTAATTTTAATAGCTTTAATAGTTAAAAATTATATATTTTAATGCGTTAATTAAATTCTAATAGCAAAATGACTGATGAACGAAATACTTTAAAATGTATATTTGGTCGATCATTTGATGATTTACAACTTCGAAATAAGCTCAGTCAATTATGCGCAACATATCTTGGCGGTATTTGGACAACAGTACCATCTGAGCAAATTCGCATTGCAACACAAAGGTTAATTTTATTTTGTTTATCTTATTTTTTCATAAATAAATGAAATTTTTTCAATAATAAAAATATTTTTCACTTTATTATTTATTAGCTATAAATTTATGTTTAAAAAAAATTTTTTTTTTTTTTTATTTAATTCATTTATAATAATTATTTGCAAATTTTTTGCACTTTTTTTTTTTTAAATGAATGATTATTTTTTGCAACGAATTTCATTAAAATATAAAAAATGTTTAATTTGTTTGATATGTTAAAGTTAAATTTTCATTTGTAGTTTAAATTGAAATTATTGTTTGAATTTTTCAAATTTTAAAAAATTTGAAATTATTATTTGAAAATTTGATTTAGTTAATGAGTGAAAAGTCTTTCATTTATCTTTTTCATTAAAAAATATCATCAAAAAAAAAAAAAGGAAATTATTTTCTAAAATAATTTTTTAGAATTTAAAGCATTCAAATGTTTGAGTAAAAATTGGATTTTAGTTACTCTCACTTAAATTAATTTCTTACTTTTGTTGTAAAGTTAATTAAAATTGTAAATTTTTCATTAAATATAACTGGAAAAGCATATAGAGGTGGATCAAATAATAAAATTTTTAATGGTGGAATTACCAGATGAAATGAAATTTGAATATAACAAATCATTGCATAAAGTAATTCTTCGTATCTATGAAAATCCTCAATGAAAATAACGAATTACCTGAAGGTATTATCACGGCGGTATTATCAGAAAGGTTTTTCATTTTGTTTATTATTTATTACACAAACTTATTTATTACTTATATTTTGCAGTAAGTAACTTAAGTATTTTGTAAAATCATAAGTCAGTTTTTTTTTTTTTTTTTTTTTTTTTTTTAAATAAGTTAGCTTTTTTTCTCAATTATATTGCATATTATATTAGTAATTTTGCATCAAATAATCCAAAATAAATTCTAAAATTTTTTTATGTTAAAAATGATAATTAATTTAATGATAATTTGATAATTGATATATTCCTCTGCTAATTTACTTTTTTATAGACGTTTGAGTCCACGTTTATTGGGAATATTTCCTGGTGGACGTTTTGAAGAATATATTCCATCACGTCCGCTTACCAATGATGAATATTGCAAAGCATGGTTAAATATTTTGTATTTTGCTAATTTAATTTTTTTTTTTTTTTTTGAAAGCGTATTTCACGTAGAAATATTTTTCTTTCCTTTTTGGGAAAGCGTATTTCACGTTAGTCCTCGAGAAATACTCATATATTTTTAATAATAATTAGATTAAAGAATCTAATAATATTTATTTTAATTGTAATGTTTTTTTTTTTTTTCAATTTTAATTATTTAGTTAAAATATTTATTTTAGTGTTGCACAAGAAGTTGGTCGAATTCTTGCAAGAATACATTCATTAGATATGCCAATTAGCAAAGAATGTCGTTTGGCGCAATTTGTTGATGATATGATCGAAAGGTTGAGAAGTTCAGATCGATGGAAAACACAAAATTATCCGATGCATACTACTTTAGCAAAAGTTGATAAAGCACTCGTAAGTTATACTATCATCTAATCTCTATTTCTTGTTCTCTTTTATTATCATTATTATCATAATTAGCGCAAAAGTTGATAAAGTACTCGTAAGTTATACTATCATCTAATCTCTATTTCTTGTTCTCTTTTATTATCATTATTATCATAATTAGCGCAAAAGTTGATAAAGTACTCGTAAGTTATACTATCATCTAATCTCTATTTCTTGTTCTCTTTATTATCATTATTATCATAATTTAGCGCAAAAGTTGATAAAGTACTCGTAAGTTATACTATCATCTAATCTCTATTTCTTGTTCTCTTTTATTATCATTATTATCATAATTAGCGCAAAAGTTGATAAAGTACTCGTAAGTTATACTATCATCTAATCTCTATTTCTTGTCTCTTTTATTATCATTATTATCATAATTAGCGCAAAAGTTGATAAAGTACTCGTAAGTTATACTATCATCTAATCTCTATTTCTTGTTCTCTTTTATTATCATTATTATCATAATTAGCTTTCTCCTAATTTTTCATTTCATTTATATTTTTTTCATTACAGTATCCTGATCTTATCACTATTGATCTATTAGCAGAGGAATTGGAGATATGCAAGAAATGCTTGGCGCAAAGTGGTAGTCCACTTGTTTTTAGTAACAATGATTTACATGTGTGTTTATTCATTTTTTTGAACTTCAATTTGTAAAAATTAAAATATTTCAAATTTTAATTAAATTAAAATATTTCAAATTTTGATCTTTTTGAATACTATCAATTTTTATTTTTATTTTTTTAAACAATGAAAATATTCGAAACAATTTAAACATATTTTAATATCTTATAATGATATTACCTTCTTTTTGTTAAATTAAAAAAGAAGTTCAAACGTTTTTTTCATTTTTTGTTTTCTTAGATTAATTTGAACAAATGAAAAATTTAACTTTTAATTATTTGTAAGACAATTTTTTTTTTCTTTCTTTTTTTTTAAGTATTAAACTTTAAATATTTATGTGATAAGTAATTTTGCAGGAAGGAAATTTACTTTACGTGATGGTATCAAAATTACTGATCAGGGTTTGATCGGTCGAAAAGATGATGAAGATCCGATTATTCTGATTGATTATGAATATGGCTGTTATTATTATCGGTTTTTTATTCATCTTTTTTTTTTCCTTTTTCTTTCAAATAATTTTTAATTTAATTAAAATTAAGGTAATAAGTAAGGTATATAAATGTATTAAGATTATTTGACATTTAATTAATTATTCTTTCACTTTTTTTTCAAAAATTTTCAATTTTTTAGATATTTTAGATAAAAAAATCTTTTGTGTATAATTTTGATAAGATAAAATAGGAAAGTGAAATTAAAATTTGAAATAACATAACTTTTGTATGGTTAGTAAATATATCTAAAAGTAGAAAGCAAATTGAATCAAAATAATATTTAGCAATGTTTGAAATTAAAATTAAATTTTTTTTGCTAAACTAAAATGAAATGAAGTAAATAATTCTAAACGTATTTTTTTCTTTAAATACAACTTTGCATTAATTCATAAAAGTTTTGGAAGGAAATTTTTACCTATTAGTTTATTTTTACAAAATTATTCATAAATAGTAATTAAATAAAAAGAAAACACTATTTTTTTAAAAGGATAATTTTAATAGTTAACAATAAAAATACATAATTATTTACCTTTAAAATAATTAATAAATAATAATTAACAAACTTTTTACCTATTAATAATTAACGTTTATTTTTTGAAAGAATCAACAGTTAATTTTACCTATTTTAAAAGTTTTTTTTTTAAATAATTTATAAATAATCAAAAATATTTTTTTTTTTTTTTTTTTTAGTGGTTTGATTTATGTCATTACTGTGTCGAATGTTGTTTACATAACGAAGTAACATATGGCCTTACTATGAAGTGAAACAAAATCAATGGCCAAATGAAGCAATTCAACGTTTATATATTAGTGCCTATATTGATGAGGCAATGAAAGTTAGTTGTCATTTAATTGTCACCAAAAATATTTACTGTTTAATTTTAAGTATAATATTATTTTCAATAAAAATAATACAATCATCAAAAATAGATTTAAAATGTTAAATAAAAGAAAACGTTTACAAATTATCGTAATAAATTGTGGTACTAAAATTTAAATTAATAATATTAGAAATGAATGAGAATTTTATTAATAAATATCAATTTAAATGATTAATAAATTTAAACGATTAATAAATTTAGATGGTTAATAATTTAAATGATTAATAAATTTAAATGACTAATAAATATAGATAGTTAATAAATTAAATGTTTATAATAACCAATTGGAATGTATCAATATGATTTGTAAAGGATAAATATGCAAAAAATTATTTTTATAAGTATTTGTTATTTTTAAATGATATAATTAATTATGTATACATTAAGACAATTAAAAAAAAAATTTTTTTTTTAAATTTTAATTTAATAAAATTTCATTTGTTAAATATTTTAGATTTGCGTTGATAATAATGGAAAGAGAATTCAATGCATCCGTGATTTATCGATTGATCGTGAAATTTCAATCAATCATTTATTAATGAAATACGTCAATTTGCAGCATTTCCTCATTTATTTTGGGCAATTTGGTCATTTGAACATGCTGAAATTACTCAAACAAATTTTGATCATTTTGATATGCATTTGATCGCTTAGCATTGTATTATTATTGGAAATCAGAAATGTAAAGTATTTGAATTAGTAAAAAAGTAAAAAAAAAAGGAACGAATTGCAATTTAAAACAATTTCAATTCATTTTTATGCATTTTAAAATAATTTCAATTCATTTTTATGCATTTTAAAATAATTTCAATTCATTTTTATGCAATTTAAAATAATTTCAATTCATTGTTATGCATTTTAAAATAATTTTAATGCATTTTTATGCAATTTAAAATAATTTCAATTCATTGTTATCTTCATTTATTTTTAAGAAAATATAAATGTAGCCTACTGCCTTATAGCTATTATTAATGTATTATTTATAAAATAGAGGACAAAATAAATTTATTAAAAAATAAAATAAAGCAACCTTTTTTCAACTTTTTTTTGAAAATTTTCAAAAAAATAAAACTGTGGAATTAATCAAATTAAGGATTAATTTAAGCTTAATCCTATATTTTTAGCTAATGATTAAAATTATTTGTAATTTAATATTCAAATATAATTTATGCCATTTGCAAACGATGCACTTTTTTTCACTTACTCACTTACTTACTTACTTACATTTACTTTTTTCCTCCACGAAAGATTTTTTTCTATTTTATTCATAAATAGTAAATTATATCTGTCACATTTCTATTTTTATTACAAATGAATGCATAACAAATGCAAACATTTTTAAAAAAAAAACTTTTACAATGAAAAGTAAAAGAAATGAAGCCTAGAAAGTCTAGGCTAATTATTAACCTTTTCTTCACTTATTGATTATTTACTTTTACTTATAAATTCTGTCCATTTATTCTTTTCTTTTTTGGTAAAAAGATATCTTTTATACATTATTAATTTGCATTTTTTTAGTAAATAACTTTTACTGAATTGTTTTTTTGTTTCGACTCGATTGGATCAATAGTATAAACTAATTAGTTTTAATAAACAATTCAAAATTAAATGAAAACAAATATTAATCTGTTGATTACTGATCAATTGATTATTTTATTATCACTACTATTGCTATTAATTATTGTTATTACCTATTATTATTTATTACATTTGTCACATTATTTTATTATTGTTGTTATTATTAATTATTATCATTATTTATTATTATTATTATTATTATTATTATTATTATTATTATTATTATTATTGAATGATACCAATTACCACGAAAAAACAAATTAACTTTTTATCAGTTTTATAATTATTATTGTTAGTTTTTCAGTATGGCAGAATTTTTTATTCCACTGTTTCAAATTCAAATTTATTTAATCGATTCGAAGGTAAGAAATAAAATGATATAATGAGTGGGAAAAAACAATTGATAAGTGTTTTAAAAAGTATAAAATTGAATGAATTATATAAAAAGTTAATATTCATAATTTAATTCGAGAATAAACAATTCAATAAAAAATTTATAATAATCAATTCAATTAGCACAAAATTACATTAATTTGTAGCAAAAACGATGAATTAAAATTGGAAAATTTAAATGAAAGAAATAATTTCTATCAATGATTAATGAATTCGAACAATTCATTCGTCATAAAATTGCATTCATTCAACTATTTAAATGTAAAAAAGTAATTATTTTCGTCTCATTTTATCATTTACAAACAATTTGAAAACTTTTCTCTTTTTTATTTTCAATTTATTTCATTTACCAAAATAATAATTCAAAATTAGGCAGTAATTTAATTCATTTAATTCTTATATAAATCATAAATAGAAGAAAAAAAATTTCATTCATTTAATTTCTATATAATTCATTTATTCAAAAAATAAAATAAAATAAAGTTTTACAAAAAAAAAATGAAATATTTAAGCTTGCAAAGGAAAAAAAAAGAAAATAAAAAATTTGCATAATTTTTGTTTATTGCATTTTACAATTTCATTGTGTTTTTTGAATAATATACTAATTAAAATATTTTTTCTTTAAAAAAAAGTAAAAAATTACGATGATAATATGATTTGAACGCTTTACTTTATTTATTTATTTTTCACTTTTATTTATATTTTAATAATTATTTACTGAAATTTTTTATTATTTGGAATAAAAATAATATAAAGTTAACAAATATAATAATTTTACAAATTTTAAATTTATTTTCATTATATTATTAATAACTAAATCATTTCAAAAAATTTTGATTTAATAAATAAACAGAAAAAGATTTTTTACCAAAATTTATTGTCCATTTCAATCAAATTAAAATGATAGAATAAACAATAATATATTATCAAATACTTTCTCTCTCTCTTTTTTCTCTCTCCCTCTCTCTCTCTTTTGAATGATTGAAATTTTTTAATTTTATTAAATTCTTAATTAAACCTAGACGCAAAAATTCAATAATTTTTCATTCCGAAACATTAAATTTCTTTTTTTTTTTTTTAGATATTAAAAAAAAGAATTAAAGAAGAGAAGAAGAAATGGCTTATAATCATTATTTTCTCCTTTTTTTTCTCTCATTTTTTTATTTAATTGAAATTTGACAAAGTTATAAAAATAAAATAAAAAAAATCTTTTCTTTTCTTTCTTTCTCTCTCTCTCTCTCTCTCTCTCTCTTTCTCTCTTTTTTTGAGTATTTAACAATTTGTTAGATATGATTTTAGTTGAATGTAAAAGCGAAGAATGAATTGAATGAAAGAAAGAAATACGGGAAAGAAAAGAAGCCCGAAGAGCGGGTAAAATTGAGGAATGAAAAATAGATTTTAAGCTGTCATCGAATTATCATCACAAACCATTTTTACATTCTTTTTTTTTTATAGCTTTCATTTAAAAAAAAAATCTCACCGAATTTTCATTTCATTTTCTGCAAATGGTTTATAATTGTATGAAATGGAATCATTTCTAATTTTTTTTTTTTGGTTTTATTTAAAATTTAAAAATTAATTTAAAAAAAAAATTGGGAGGAAAAAAATTTTTTTTTTTTGCATAATTTCATATTGTATTTGAATGAAAAAAAAAAAAAAAAATTGTACAATTTTAAAAAATAATTTAAAATGAAATATAATTTTTGCATTATGTCAATTTATTAAATTAATTTTTAAATATAATTTTTAAATTTGTTTTTTTTTTGTTTTTTATTTTTAAATATTTTATTATTATAGGATTTATTTAAATTAATATTTAATTTATAAAAAAAAAAAAAAAAAAAAAAAAAATTTAATTTTATAAATATAAACAAATACATAAACATTTCGTATTATTGTGAGAAAAAAAATATTTTTTTTTTTTTCATTCTTTGGAATAATCATCGATAGAGAAGAAATTTTGGAATAAAATTTGAATTAAATATATTTCTTAACATTCAATTTTTCTCACCATCTAAAAACAGAAAAAAAAATTTTTTTTTTTTCAATCATACTAAAATGAAT